TTTTTCAAATTTGATTTACGACAAGTTCAACAAATTTGCTGTTGATTTTTGAACACGAACGAGCACATTTTGCGTAGTGCAGTACGTTAACTGCGTGCATTTTTTAAGTCTTTTATAGCAAGTTGATAGATCATTTTCCTCATTTTAATTAGGAAATGGGTAACCGGCAAATGATTTAATAAGGGGTAATGGCCTGTGGTTACATGTTTGTTAATGGTGGGGGGTTAGTGGAGGTTTACACTGTTAACGAAATCGTTAGTTTTTGTCAATGGTTAGTGGTTAAGTTTACATGGTAAATTGTTATGGTTAACGGGGTTATTTACCGTGAATGGTTGATGGTTAGTTGAGGTTCATATGGTAAATGGTTATGGTTAATGGGGTTGTTATTTACTACACGTATCGGTGATTGAGGGTTGGTTGAGGTTAATATGGCTTATGGAGGGTGATTGATGGGATTGTTTTCGTGGCTTTGGGGAAATGATCTCAAAATACTATTTACTGACATGACCCTCAATTGATGCATAGCGATCGAGTCAGTATATCAGAAAGAACAGAAATGGCTTGTATTTTAGAAATAAGCCAATACCACGTTCAATTCGTTCCATGTGGCAGGCTAACGCTGGATTACGGCAAGTGCAACGATATTGTCTGATCGTAGGCTGTCTCTCTTCCAGTTCAAATGGTGGAATTTTGTCGCATTGAGTCTGATTATGCAGGCATCTTCACCGCAACATTCTTCATACGAGCTCGATATGGGCTCACTGGGCTCTGTGTGGACTATACGTGGGCTCTAGGTGGGCTTTAGGTGGAGTGTTGCTTCCAGCCTCCCTCGCTAATTGAAGTCAAGGTGCACTAGAATCATCTGTAATACAGTGTAACAAAAACAAAATTTGAAATCATTCCCCCAACAGGACTGTACACTACATCCCAATTTTATCTTAAAACTCAACAGCTTCATAAATTTGAGAATTGGAGATGATACACCTCCGTTCGTTCAATCCTTACTTTTAGAACCCTGCAAGTATTTATTTGCCAAAGGATAAACTTTCAATCTTTCTTACAAAATCCTCCACAAAATGGCTCTACAACCCTTTGTGCACAAATAAAAGCATAGATAATTGGGAAGTATATATGACCTTGGAGCAGTAGGAAGTGCTTGACACTTGACACCCTGTGCACAAACCCATGGAACTGTTGAGAAAATTTCTGTTTTCTAAGTAAACGACTAGACTATTTGCCTTCTAGATTGAACTTTTCTGTTTGTTGTGTTTGCTTTCTGATGGCTAATAGGTCATTGCAGGGAGTAATTACAGGGAGTATGGCAGCACGCGCCTTGCCACACTCCCAGTAATTATTCGATTTACACACACATTTATTTCAACATCGCCCTACAAAGACACATAACTAGTACATTGCTATACTTAAAGCCAACACTGCACGTATTGAGATTCAACTACATTTAAAAAAAAAAAAAAATATCACACATTATTCGGCGGAGCCAAATGTTTGTGACGCTGTGCATGAACACTGTGCGATGCATCGTGTAAATGGCCACAGTATGCAGATTGGCGGATATTGCTTTGTGAGAGGTTACGTCCAGGAAGAGTTAAGTTCCGTATATGGAACTCTAGCTATCGTTTACAGGGCATTTGTCTTTTTAAGTCTGAAGCAATCAATCAAGATAACATCAGGCATGTTAAAGGAATGCAAATAATTTCAAAGCAGATTGTATGGCCATGATACATCCCAGATTATCTTTGTTTCCTCAGGGAAGTCTTCCTATTACACAAAGGGTTGAAGAGCCATTTTATGGAGGATTTTGGAAGAAAAACGTGGCATTTCAAGAATTCCGTATCCAGCCATCACTTGATGGCACCCTATCATAAACGTCACAAAACTGGTCTGAAAATTCTAAATGTTTTCAAAGTCAATCCTTCAATGTTTGCACAGCTAAATTTGCCGTTGTCGACATGTCTTCGCTTGCTATATGCCTAGTAGACTGCTGCAAGGGAAAATAAGTGATTTCGTAAATTAGGGTCATGGAACGATAAAGTGAACAAGTCACAATCGAAATTGAATTTCGTGCTAAAAGCGCCCGTGTTCGATCTTTCATTAGTTCAGTTTACTCTCTAAAGGGTAAACTATACCACTTTTAATCATGGAGGCCAAAATCAGTTACTTTAGACACAGAAATGGCATACTTACTTTGACTGTGTAATGATGGCGTAGTTAAACTGATGCTCCTTCTAAGGTGCCCGCGAATTTATGAATGCCCATCAGCCCACGTGAGAATTTCATTGTTATGCAGTTACACTGGTTCCCTTCCGCATTCACTCTTTGAAATCATTGCGGCGGAAACCAACCATTGCGCAGTTGAATTCAATTCACTTGATACTCTATTTGTCGAGTAAATTTTACTAGAAGCCCTACTAGGCCAGATATTTTATTTATTTCTAAATTGTCGAATTAATTGTAAACTGACAGCTTTGAAAAAAAAATATTTTACAAAGGACATATGATAGGGAAATTCTTATCTTAACACATGCAAAATTTACATCTGCATTACGAACAGCGCCCCCTGAGTGGTTCAGCCTAGACGGGTTCCCGGATCCCGTCACGTACATGTATGTATTCTCCGACGTCTTGCAGACGTCCTCCGAACGTAGTGATCGGTGGCGGATAATGAAACCAATGGGGGAATCCTGGCGATTTTACGTAAATGAGGAAAGGAATCCCACGAAATGCAGAATCAAACAGGAGCTGATAGAATATTTCCCCTTTTCTTCTTCGTTACAAAAAAATACAAGCTGCGCTGGTGACCACCAGGATGGCCTGAAGTTCAGCGCTGGCTTCATCGTTTTATATTTTGTAAAGTCCCAAGATGTAGGAACAGAAGAAATCAACAAATGTCACTACTCGAAAAAGGCTACTATAAACTTGATTAAACTGGGCACAAAATGGGACAGAGGGGTACCCACAACAATTCTAATTCTTATACACACTACAGCCTACTGTCACTTAACACATCCCCCTAGATTTCTGAAAGGAATTGCTGAGATACCAGTATAACAATGACCAACACAAAGGCGGGGGGGAGTCTCTCTGTCCCACCATTTGCTTCATATGAATTTGATAACATAAGATCATTGATTCCATCAGACGTCTTCTTCCCTTGATTCCATCGCAAAAGCTTGTGCGTGTTTAGTGGACAGCACCATGGATTTTTTGTGGGTTTTTGGAGGACTCTCTTACCTATAATCACCCGCAGACTCATCCAACTACCAACCCATCCACCAAATCAACCTATAAGAACTATTATGCAAATACTATCAGATGTCAAGGAAATGAACACACACCTTCCAAATTAGACACAAAACAAAATAAAATAAAAAATAAAACTTGAAGTATATGCAAATAGCGTAAGGTTGAACTCTATGTGGACAATGTACCGGCTTCCACGGTAACCCACATTACCTCCTCGCGATAGAAGTCAACATATTAATATTTAAGGATGTTTAATCACACAATTAAATTCTTAGGTTGAAACGAGCTGTCTTTAGGTTAACGATGATATTAAAGTCATTAAAAATGACAGTCATATGGCGATGAACATTGAATAAGACAAATTCAGTCAACATGATCGAAATAATATGAAATAAAAAAGTCCACTGTGACGTGTCTTTTATGTGGTTCCGTCGAGAAGCGCAAGCATTGTCACCAACAGTTTCGAAGCAAATGAACCATAAATTAAAGACATAGCTTTAGGTTAAATCCACAGAGGTGGATGAATAATTGTTTCTTGGACTTTATGAACACGGCTCAAAAGTTTAACTGCCTCCGGGAACACTGTGACCTTGCTCACGTCTTACAAAGTAGCATTAATTCTGAGCTGTTTCTGACGCAGTGCTGGTATTCAGCATTGTTTTTTTGTTTGTTTGTTGGGATGTTTGTTTGGTTTTTGTTTTGTTTGTTTGTTTGTTGGGGTGTTTGATTTTTTGGGTTTTTTTTTGGGGGGGGGGTTGTTCAGGAAATTTTACCCTCTTGACTAACTTTGTAGTTTTTATGTTTTTGTCCCAAATGTGCTGAAAAGGTTGGTCCTGAGAAATACACTTCGTTGCATTCCCGGCACAGAAAAGACTTCTTATTCTCCTTGTGACAGTTCTCGTGATCAAGAAGCCGAGTGTTGGACGAGAGATGTCGCCCACAGAATTTGCATTGAAGGTTTGATTTAGACCCAGAGCGACGGTTGGTGANGCAAGTACGTACAAAGATATTAAAAGATGTTTAAATGTAACCTTGCCTGGTCAATAGCTCTTATTGGTCAGTTACAAGAAAACAAACTTATATATCGATATGAACCAAGGTATTTAACACACACATGTTGAAGAAATAAATTGTATAATATTCGTAACAGTAAACATACGTACATTAAACGGACTCCTAAGCCCACACAAATACGGGTATACATGCAACAGTTATTTGGTTGTCGAGAAACATCAATACATACAAATATTTCTCTGTACTCAGGTGGAAAAAAAAGTCACTTTGAAAACAAGTCACAAGTACATAGTGCACTTGCCTGCTTTATTCAGTCACATATGTGGCAACATTATGCATTTGTGTGTGTGTGTGTTTTTTGTGAGGAATTTACTTACTTATACTCACCCACACATCCAGCCTAAGAAGCAACATGCAAACTTGCTATCAGATTTACTACAAGGAAAATAACATACACATTCAAGATTACACGCTAAACAAAATCGAACTTTGAAAAAAATCAGGAACCATTAACAGATGCATAAAAGTTAAAGTGATTTTAACATTGGAAGCATTCCATGTATGGAAACAGCGTAAGGTTAAAATCTTCGTGGACTATGTACAGGGCTGCATGGGAACCCAACACTTTCTCGCGATGTAAGTCAACATATTAATATTTAAGGATGTTTTATGATCATACAATTGAATTCTCAGGTTGAGACGATCTGTTTTTAGGTTACCGATGATATAAAAGTCATTACAAATGACTGCCATATGGCGATAAATATTGAATAAGACAAATTCAGTCCATGTGATCAAAATACATAAAATACAAAAAGTCCACTTTGACGTGTCTTTTATGTGGTTCCGTCGAGTCGCGCAAGCATCGTCTCAAACAGTTTCTAACAAGTGAACTATACAATAAAGACATACCTTTAGGTTAAATCGACAGAGGTCGATGAATAGTCGTTTCTTGGACTTCATGAACAAGGCTCAAGCATTTAACTGCTTTGATAAACCCTGTGAATTCGCTCACGTCTTACCAAGTAGCATTAATCTTGAGCTATTTCTGTCACAGTGCAGGTATTCAACAGTGTTTTTTGTTCAAGAAATTTTACCCTCTTGGCTACCTTTGTAATGTTTTTAATGCTTTTTTCGCAAATGTAATGACAAGGTTGGTCCTGAGAAATACACTTCGTTGCATTCCAGGCACGGAAAAGGCTTCTTCTTCTCCTCGTGACAGTTCTCGTGCTCAAGAAGCCGAGTGTTGGACGAGAGATGTCGCCCACAGAATATGCATTGAAGGTTTGATTTAGACCCAGAGCGACGGTTGGTTAGGGTTGCAATTGGGGTCCGATCTCTATCAGCCTCATCAGTGAGGTTGGACTCCTCCTTGCTCGATGATTCGATGACGTCTTTGCCGGTGGTGGCTGGAGAGGACGATTTGGTGGGATGCTGTTTTGCACTATGACCTCGCACGTGCTCCTTCATGGTCTCTCTGCTGGGAGCCGTTTGTCCTTGAAGGCGTGCAGCCCTCGGTTGTCCCTTTGGACGATTGGGTACCCTTTTCGAATTTTGGACGTTATGAGGATTTCGTTGAGGTCGATCAGTGTTCTGGATAGACTGGCTACAACTAGGTCCATCACTTTCTCTCTTACCTGAGGGCGCTGCTCTGGCCTTTCCTTTTGCGGCAGGATATGGCCGGCCAGTTTGTTCATTGTCACCACAATGGTATTCCTTCTCATGACGTTTTCGCGCACATTGACCGAAGAACGTTTTCGAGCAGTGCCTGCATTTATACAGTTTACGACGGTGGACTTTAACCCAGTGCCTCTTGAGGCTTGAAAGCTCTTTGAAGCGCTTTCTGCATATCTGACAGTGGTGTGGTTTCTCACCAGTGTGAACTCGCAAATGACGGGCCATGTCCCTGACAGTTTTTGAGCAAGTCTTACATTCGTGCGACTGACGATGACGTTTGAACCCTTGACGAGTTAGAAGAGTTTTGGAACACACATCACACTTCTTGAGTTGCTTGTACTTTTTAGAAATCAAATTGGTCGTGCAAAGATGTTTCCTCGATTTGGAGCGGTTCGGTGAACTTCTACTGGTGTGAGTACCCAGATAATTCCTGTGCTCCTCCTCGGTTTGAGTGCCACAAGCGTGACTGTCACTGCCGTCGACAGAACTTGACAGGTCTTCCTTGTGGGCAGCATGCGCTGCCTCTCTACTAGATGTGGCCCCGATGAAGGTGCGAGGGTTGAGCTGGCGCCCTCCAGTCGTCGAGTGAGAATCGGAGGGCGTTATTATTTCTCCCCGGTATGTGATCGGTAGAACCTCCTGACCTTGGCTCGCCTGTTGCTGAGAGTACTGATGATGGATTTGCCCATCAGCCCCAAACTTGCCTGGTTGCTCACAGGTTTCTGGTGCAGAGTTACCATTAATCAACCTGGTAGCACCACTGCTAGTACCTGCCATCGGGGTTTCAACTTGAATTAGTCTCCCTTTCATTCCCTCAGCTTGAATATTCTCTCTTTTGTCAGCAGACTCGTTCCTCTTTGGCTCGTTTCTCGATTGTTCTAAGGAGAAAGGACAAAAACAGCCGTTTGAATTGCAAATAAGCAAATCCTGCACATGGTTGGCCATGTTGTAGGCTGTATGCTATTCTCCTCGATGAAATATTGCCTAAAAGGTGTCCATGCGGGCAAAGATAAGTATACGTCTTATGTTTTAACCTATGGGGGTACATATTTCCTCAATTACCCTCCTTGGTGAGATTGTTCCCTGCTGGGAAAACAATAGCTGGTTATGGAGTTGCCTACTCCACCCTACTAACCCCCACCTTGTGGGAAAACAATAGCTGGTTATGGAGTTGCCTACTCCACCCTACTAACCCCCACCTTGTGGGAAAACAATAGCTGGTTATGGAGTTGCCTGCTCAACCCTACTAACCCCCACCTTGTGGTTTCATGCAAAAGCAAAGTTCAATCCGACGCGGTTATACATGTGTGTGCTACTCCCTCGTTTCGAGCGTTGACGGCGTTTTGACTGAAAAGACCCGTTTCTTAATAACAGTGAGTAGGTCTACGAGATGTCCATTATTTCCTAAACGTCAATAANTACCCAGATAATTCCTGTGCTCGTCCTCGGTTTGAGTGCCACAAGCGTGACTGTCACTGCCTTCGACAGAACTTGACAGGTCTTCCTTGTGGGCAGCATGCGCTGCCTCTCTACTAGATGTGGCCCCGCTGAAGCTGCGAGTGTAGAGCTTGCGCCCTCCAGCCGTCGAGTGGGAATTGGAAGGCGTTATTATTTCTCCCCGGTATGTGATCGGTAGAACCTCCTGACCTTGGCTCGCCTGTTGCTGAGAGCACTGATGATGGATTTGCCCATCAGCCCCAAACTTGCCTGGTTGCTCACAGGTTTCTGGTGCAGAGTTACCATTAATGGACCTGGTAGCACCACTGCTAGTACCTGCCATCGGGGTTTCAACTTGAATTAGTCTCCCTTTCATTCCCTCTGCTTGGATATTCTCTCTTTTGTCAGCAGACTCGTTCCTCTTTGGCTCGTTTCTCGATTGTTCTAAGGAGAAAGGACAAAAACAGCCGTTTGAATTGCAAATAAGCAAATCCTGCACATAGTTGGCCATGTTATAGGCTGTATGCTATTCTCCTCGATGAAATATTGCCTAAAAGGTGTCCATGCGGGCAAAGATGAGTATACGTCTTATGTTTTAACCTACGGGGTACGTATTTCCTCAATTACCCTCCTTGGTGAGATTATTCCCTGCTGGGAAAACAAAAGGTTGGTTATGGAGTTGCCTGCTCAACCCTACTAACCCCCACCTTGTGGTTTCATGCAAAAGCAAAGTTCAATCCGACGCGGTTATACATGTGTGTGCTACTCCCTCGTTTCGAGCGTTGACGGCGTTTGGACTGAAAAGACCCGTTTCTTAACAGTGAGTAGGTCTACGAGATGCCTATTATTTCCTAAACGTCAATAACCACAAATAATTATAAGGCACCTTAGTTGTTACAGGTTGAGAGGTTTTCATGGTAACTCGATAGCATTTATATGAATTTTCTGTAGCTCATTGCAGAAGCAGACTTTCAAGACAGTCCGTATGATTTTTGAAATTTCCCCCCCAAATATTTTAAGTGGCTGCAAGCCAGTACTTACCTATTTCACCCCCGCTCTTATCAAATAATTGGTAGCAGTCCAAAACCTGCATGGGTGGATTTTTCAAGTTGGCTTTCCTACTTTCCATTCGAGTTGCCCCAACCACTTGCTCTTTTGGACAGAAAAATAGAAAAAGAGTGGGAAGAAAAGGGAAAACAAGCTGCAAGAAAAACGTTTTGTAACCCACATTGAAATTTGTGTTTCAGAACACTAGGTTAACAGCTTGCATTTTCAATATCCATTTGGTAAAAACGCAACAATTCTTTCACATCTGCGAGCTGGTATTTTAAACTGAAAGATTCTAGACAAAGGAAAGATTCAACTTTGTACCAGAACTGCGTTTCTGGTATTCTGCTCATGGGGGCTGCATTTTGCAAGCAAGCCTTTGGTCTTTTGAAAAGGGAAATTGAGGAAAAAGGGGAATGCATTGTGGGCACTTCAGGGTCCTTTACTTAAGTTGAATGACAAAAAATCTGACAGGAACTAATGATCCTACTATGTTGTGGGCTAAAAAAAAAACAATTTCTGTGTTGTTACTACACC